CCAGACGTTTCGCCGACATAATCAGTGAGTTTCGCCATTCTTAGCACCACACAACAACTAGTAAAAAAGATAAGTGAAGCGGATGCTTTGACTAAACGTGTGCGAAACAGATGTGATATCTCCCTTTCTGCCCTGGCCTATTCACATTTCCCATATCCTTCTATCATGTCTTCTTTGTTACAATTTTTACCGTGCTTATTTTGATGTAGTATGGTGTGCTCCCTTGAGCGACATTCATGAAAACCCTTTACACTCCACGTTGTCGTTCTCACTCCTTTCACCCTTGTGCTGAGAATGTTGATCAGAGTCTGCTATATTGTTACGCAGTTTTCCTTCACTAGGTCTTACCACAGTCTCTCTCTTGCCCCATAGGATTTGCATGCCATCGCACTGGTTGACATAATTCACTCGACCCCTGCCACCCCATCTGTGCCACTCGAGGCGTTTTTCGCCCTCCCATGCGTCTGGGTGCCTAATTCGAGGCTCAAGCCTCTGAGTAAGTCTCATGATCACGCCTTTGCCACATGGACCACGTCTCTGATAAAACCTACTGTCAGCCAACTAGCTCGTCTCCGCCACGTCTATCCTGTCTCTATTCCTAATACCAAGTCTATGACTTTCCATGCCCTAGTCTCTTCTGTGCCAACCCACAAATGTTGTGGTACTGCTAGCTTTGATTAGGTTCAATGTTGAACCACAACGTTTGTGGGTTGGCACACAAGAGACTAGGACATAGGAAGTCATAGACACGTTTGGTCAAAGAATCGGCTTCACTTGTCTCTTTGACCAGTTGTTTTGTAGTGCCAAGTCTGGCGAGAGTCACGGCGAAACTTCTGGGAATGTGCCACGTCCACGGTCCGACTTTGGAAAGTATCATGCATACAATTGGTTCCGGGCTAGGTGCGTTCCTCTAAGTCTTTCTACCAATATGACCAAGTTACGAAAAGAAGGTCAATCAACTTCTGTACAACGAAAGAAGACTGCGACCACACAAAAGGCCACGCTTTCTTGGTCTTCATACCTTCGATTACACTACACGTTTGTTATAAGTTCCATCTACTTGATTTTCTGTTTTGTATTAATGGATATTTAGCTATAGGCCAAATGAATATCTTTATTTTTATGTTTAATTACTTGAAGTTTTCTTGCTTGGCCAAGTCGGCTTCATTATTATTTGTAACTTCTTAACTCTACAGGTCACTGTACTTTCTGTCGACAAAGTTGCCAAGATGACGGCTGAGTTACAGGAGGAAACCGGACTTAAGTGTGCCATTTGCCACGAGGGCCCGCGAAATGTTCCAAAGGAGTCATTAGGCATATATATCTATGCTAGCCGTCACCTTTTCGAAGAAGATATGTCAAACTCTGTGCCTTATTCTACTTCCTCCGGAACCCATTCCGCTGGGACTTCAGCTAGCTCTGGACTTCCTTCGAACATATCATCACAAATCGGCTACCAGACATTGACAAGCTTCGTGGTGGTCCATTTTTCATGCCACACAAATGTATGGGTTTAATTAATTTATTGTTATATTTATTTTCTAGTTCATTTAGATTTCTTGATCTCCTTTCCTATCTGATCTCTTTTAATTTTAGCCTTTTTAAAGTCAGTCATTCTTAGTCTTACAAAAACTGACCTTGTAACCACTTGTATTATTTCTTTTTCTATACTGCTTTACCAAGCTTGTTCCCCTTTATTAATTATGTTATTATTAGTCGAAAATGTTAATGTTAGTTTAGTCTCGGTTTCGCAACTTGTTCGATATTACAGGAAAATATTATATAATGTATCAATGCCTGCGTCATTTATCATAGTAGTAATGATAATTTCCAGCATTTGACCGCTGATATTCTCGGATTTTTCATGCGCTTCGTAGACGGCATTGGTAGTGATGGGCGTCATCTTTACTACCAGGTTACAACTCTTCATAGTGACAAGGGAAGGCCATCCCACCCGTACTAGCTCTTAGCGCCATATACTGATCCATCAACCCCATTTTTTATCGTCAATTTACCTATCTTCTGGTAGGAAGACCTAGAGGAACGCATCTAGTCCATCATCATGCATGATCATTTCCAAAGTCGGACCGTGGACGTGGTACATTCCCAGACGTTTTCCTGGCATCGTAGTCGGCATCGTCAGTGAGTCTCACCATTCTTGGCACGACACAACAACTCGTCGTCACTGACGATGCCGGCGAAACGTCTGGGAATGTACCACATCCACGGTCCGACT